AGTAATAGTTTCATTTTTATAAATTATATACATTAATACCTAATAGGATTGTTGCAATAAAGGGATAGTTCCACTTTTGAATAATTTGAGTAAATCAACAAAATGCAATGAAAAAAACAAATACTATTCAATATTCATTACACTAAAAAAAATATGTAAAAAGAGGAACTGTCTTCTTGTTGCTGCAAATTCAATTTTTTAATTTTTATAAAATATGCAAAGATTATTATTTCAATGTTAAACTTAAAATATCAACAAAATTTGATAACTATTGTTTCAATATTAATATATTGATAATATTATCAAAGCTTAATGAATCAAGTAAATCAAATAGCTCTATAAATATAGTATACGTTTCCTAAATGAATTTAAGTTGAATTTACTCTACAAAACAAAGACAAGTACTGTATTTTTTACTGAAAAGATCAAATACTAATTCTTTTTATAATCACCCAACGTTGTTTAACCGTACAATACAGAGATGAATTTATACTTTATAAACATATAAATCACACTTATACTCACTATTTTTAAAAGCTTATTTCGGGATAGCGTCACAGCAGCGTCTTGCATACGGGTTCCATTACTACGACTATTACCCTGTATACTTGGCATTGTTGGTACTATTGAAATTAGTTTTTTACGTCCAGATGTCTATCACAAATTTGCCATATTATCAATGAGAATATATTTTCCATAAAGATTATATTTTCGTGTATTTACCTTTATCTTCTCTATCACTTTGTTTGATAACGCATTTCTAATATTCTTATGCAAATTTGAAACTTGTGATAATGATTTCTTAGAAATAGTGGATCTAGGTTCCTTAATAAGATGCTGTTTTTTATAACAGCTTAAACTTGGTTCTCGATTAAAATCTGTATTACTTTTGCTAGATGAATCAGATGATACTACACTATTTTCGGAAGCTTCAAATTTTTCTAGTAAACTTTCAACAGTTCCAGCTTCCAAGACTATGATAATAATTATAAATTCATTATAGTACATTCTTACATTCATTTATCTCAATCATCTTAAAATACTGCGAGTTGGTTTATTACCTGCTAATTGATTTGTATGAGATTTACTATTACAATTACTAATTTTTGTATCTTTATTTGAGATTACAGTCTTTTCTCTTTTTCTCTTCTTTTGTTTTGCTAGCATA